AAATGATGAAATGAAAAAAAAAACATATGATGCACTCTTAGTGCCTAGAAGACAAGAATTTATGGAAAAAGGTTTAAGACAATTAATTAAACTGAAATGAGATTCTACCGCTTGGTGCAAAATTCGTGAGTTTTCTGGCTACGAATCAGGTCGTTTTCTATGAATTGCATCATGCAAATGATGCAAAACACTAACAATTCAAATTAATTAATGAATACTTTTCATAATTTTATATTTTGTTTTATTCTTTACATAAATGAATTGGTTTTATCAAAATTATTCATTAATAAGCTTTTTTCATTGTAATTAATTGTTTTAAAATTTATTTTAATATTTCAAGATGGTGAAAATTTGTATTTTTAATAATTTGTATCTAGTTAATAAATAATAATATAATTCAATATATTATTAATATATTACTAATAATAGTACTCTATTCTATACTAATACATTGCTTAACACACAGGCTGAGACTAAAAAAAAAAAAGTATAAAGATACAAATTAATTAGCTTTTTATTAAAAAATGACTATAAGCATATAGCTTGTGGACCCAAATAATATATAAAAACTGCTCTCTTAAATATAAGCCGAACAAATAAAGTCTTTCTTTATGAAAAATAAACAAGATTGGTCAGGCCAATCTGATAGCATGCTCTACAAAAGTGAATCAAATATTATTTTTGTTTAAAATAAATTTTATAACTTCTTGGAATCAAGTTGTTCAGAAAAATTTTTCACTGAACATACAGTAAGGGATATGGTTTATAAATTCCAGAGGAACCGAATAGTTTTTATTACAGCTTACAGTGACTGTAAACAAAAATGTTCAGTTTCCTTTTGTGCATGCACAATGAATAGATTGAACGGAACATAACACTTAGGTAATGAAAGTGAACAGTGTCATTGCACATGCTCAACGAATGAATTGAGCGGATTATAATCTTGAATATATAATGTCTGACAGAGACACAAAAGTCCTAACATAAGCACTTCACTACTATAGTGAAGTGTGCTAAAAAGAAAATAAATCAACTCACCAAAAACCTTATTTTCACACCAGCAGAAGTTTAATCTTTCATGTGAATGTGGACAAACATTTTCAACCTAATTACAGGTGTGCTTCAGGTCTCAAACTTTTTGTTCTATTTTGGAATTTTACATAGAACAATATAAAATTTCAAACTATGGAAGGAAGGACAATAAAATAGTTTGTTAGGTAGTTTGAAATTTTATACTGTTCTCTGTCAAATTCCAAAATAGAACAAAAAGTTTCAGATCCGAAGCACACCTGTAATTAGATTGAAAACATTAGTCCATGTCCACATGAAACATTAAACTCCTGCTGGTGTGAAAATAAGATTTTTGATGAGATTAAACTATCTAGTTATGGAAGCAGTTGGTGAGGAAAATAAATCATCTTCCATTACTTTCTATCCATTCTTTCATTTTTCAGCTAAGCCCTTTGAATTTCTCACTTTGACATGTTTGATTTCTATTTTTAATTATTATATTGATTTATATATTATCATTTATACATTGGATATATGTATTAATGCCTCGTGTATTGTTTTTTTTCCTGAAATGTTTTCAAGATAAAACTAATCAAGTTTTAACTAAATATCTTTATAAATTTTAAATATCCTTCCTTTAAAATGTGTCCTATTTCCTTTCTTGTTGGGATATCAGTTATATTCCAATTAGAAAATTCTTGGGAATTCTGTAATTCTGCATCTGCAGGTGTATAGGAATGCTACTGGTAATTCAGCAATCTGAAACATCAGATTAATTAAGTTTATTTTGGTTGATTAATATAATCACATTAGTATAATCAACCAAAATAAACATTATATATATGCATGTAACTACAAAATGCATTTTTTATGTTAACAAATTTGCCAATCTTTTACATTTACAGAATTGAAGAATGATTTCTTTTAATACTACTAATATATATTTTAATATAGTTTAAAAAAAATCATATTTGATGCTATCAAAAAACTTATTACCATTCCTAAAAAATACAATTATTCTGCAATAATATTCTATCTCTTCAAATAAATATTGAATGTCAGAAAATCATAAAAACTAGAATGTTATAAATATTTTTTAAGTTGAAATATTATGATTCTGGAAACATGGTATTACATATTTGGAATTTTTAAAATTAAATTGTATTTTATTCCTATTTTGCAATATGTTCATTTTTAAGAAAATGATAGAGTTACACAAAAATTTAATAGAAAAGTGAAGTATAATACTGTTAAAAATACATAAAGTTTCACAAAAAAAAATTTGAATGCAAATAGATAAAATTTAAAGACCATTTTAAATTATGTAATGAAAGATTCTATTAACGTTTATTAAATTATATTAATGGATTTTATAGCATGTCACAAAAAACTCTTCATGATTTAATAACATTCAAATAATTTATTTTTTAGTTTTAATATTAGATATTTTTATATGATACTTATTTTAAATAATAATTTATAAATAAATAAAAACTAATTCATTTACATTCAGACATATTTATAATAAATTTTTATATTGTTTAATGTTACAATATTATTTATCTAAGTTCAACAAAAATTCTTAAAATAGCAAAGGTTAAAATTATTCTGGAATATTTATAATTTTCATATGCCATAACATTATAGTATGAAGTATATTTTAATTATAAATTTTAAAAAAATAATGAAAAAAGCTTGTTTGATATACCTTAAGATTTTTATAAAGATTTAAAATGAATATGCTGCTTTTGTTCATAATCACATTAAAAAAAAAAAGTAGATTATTCAGATTAAGATATTAAGATCCAGTTGCAGTTAATTAGGAATTTAAAAAAAAAACCTTTAAAACAAGTAGTAATATGTGAGAAAAAGTTAATCCAATGAATTTTTATTTCATAAAAAATTTTAATTAAAACTATTTTTAAAAATTTAAATGACTTCAGTTTTACAAAGTAACTACCCATATAAGTAATTTTATCTTTATGAATTATTACTTAATAATACCGTATATATATATATATATATATATTTAATTCCACTGAATAGAAATTTGCTTGAAAAAATTTTACTGTGTAAAATTTACAAAGAATGTTTCTAAAACATTCAAAAATTCTGCAATAACGTACTAAAACGTAACATGAGGAGCTGCACAAGAGGACTTTGATTCCATCTGAAATACGATTCACCAGAACATAGCATGTTTATATCTTTAAAATATAACTTAAACATAACAGATAAATTTTCTTAAGTATGTTTAAAACATGCTGGAGACTGGAACTTGACACACCGACGGTGAGGGGGGGAACTATGATCTGTCGCTTTTCTAAAAGCAAATCAGTAGCAAATAGTCAATAACATCATATATTTAATTTCTTTTTTATTGATAATAACTAACAATTGCATATTTATTAAATATGCTCATTCTAGAAAATGAAGTAAGTAAGTTAACGACAAAAATTATTTGTTCCGTCTTAGTTTTCTGTGATTGTGATAATAAAATTCTGAAAAATTTAATTGTCAAATTTTCGAGAAGGAAGAAAAGAGACAGACAGACATAACAGAATTATTCAACTACTAACAAGCCAACCGTCTCTTCCTGTATCCTTCAACAGTCGCGTGGACTTCAATTCAATCGACAGCACGAACTGCCAGAACAATCCTTACAAAATAGTTAAATAACCGTTTATCTCGCAGACGAAAGAAAATCGTTGGTGCATGGTTAGAGAACCTAGTTTTGGGAGGAGAAATTCTTTCACAAATTATCCCTTTTTATCTGATTCTTACTTATAATTGATCGCATAAAAAGAGCGCGTTCGATAATTCCTTGGTAATTACAGATAAAGAGTTGAACGTCAATACGTACGAGTGTACGACTGACAAACTTATTACGTGAGGTAAACACATCCGGTGCTAAACACTGGGACGTTGACCGCAAATTCCTATAAGCTGCTGACCTTCGCCTTGATAGAACGACACGCAGTAAGTATGAAAGAACGGGTAGGCGTTATTACGAGCTCGATATCTAAAGGAGAGAGGCAGAACCGTAGAAATAAACATTTGAAGCAGATAAAATTCCGCATTAAAAATTTATGGGAAGCATCGTTTGTTGTCTACCCTCCATCATACACTTGGTGATAGACGAATGAGATAAAAAAAAAGACTCTTCCTTATTGACGAGTCAAATATCTACGGAACGATGCAGATAACGTAAATAAATTAATTTTTATACAGGCTACTACTATGTTAAATATCTAATAAAGTAGAAATTTGTATTGACTGCCGAATCGCGTGTTATATTTGGTATTTTTAGGATTTAAAAAAAGAAAAAAAAAAGGAGCGCACGTCATCTACAGATATTATCCACACCATTTATTCTAAGTAGTCTGCGGCTGACGTAACTATTAATATTACTAACCAGACCAATTAAAAAGAGAACATTAATAATATTCGAATAGATGAAAACATCAGTTTTTTTTAAATACTTTCACATACCATTTTTTGAGCCAATAACAGCAGCAAGGTCGACCTTTCATCTCCATGAAACATCGGTAACTGTTTAATTGAGAAACTCCGACCCCAGTCTCAAAGGTTCATAGTTCGGATGTAGGCGACAAGTCACATTTTACGTATTTTGATTAGACACATTTCTTGAAACTTTGTTTTGAAAGATATCATTTATCGAAAGCACGATTTTGCGTTTGTTCAACAAACACCAGTAAATTTCGCAACGAGGTGCGCGTGTATTATAATTAGAGAATGAATAACGCGAATGTGATATATACCACATGACTCAGTAAACTGTTCAGCCATGCAACAATTTACAAGTACTTTCTTTAAAGGACGGAAAAGCTAAAAAAATCATTTATTTTAAGAAACAAATCTCTGAACATTTTAACACGCAAAATCATTCAAAAAAAATTCTTACATTAATAGAGTATATATATATATTTCAACATAAGAATTGTATTACTATAAAAAAAATTACTCACCAAACAAAGGGGTCATCAGGGGAGAAGTGTGTGGGATATCCATACTGATCTGTAAGTGGTAACAGGCTTGCATCAGGGAATAAGTCCTGTAGCATCAAATCCAAATCATGGGCCACACCACTGATTAGCTGCGAAAAAAAAAATTAAAGCGGATATTAATGTTAAAATATATAAAATGCGACGTAAAGTCATTTAGTGTGTATCATTAAGTAATAACGTTTAATAAGAGAGAGCAGAGTACATGATGATGACCTAGAAAATTAAAAAGACGAAACTAAACCGAACTAAAAATTCGCTCATGTCGAACGAGAAGTAAACTCAGAATTCGAGAGTTGAACGTCCTGATTTTATAACAAGATTAATCTTAGGCGGGTGATTTTTAAAGAGTTATAATCCATTTATCTTCTTATGATTATAATTCTAATAAGTTGCCTTAGAAACCATTCGACAATATTTAATGACGAAAGCTTGTAAAGGAAGGGTAAAGAAGGGAGAAGCTCCCAGTTATTTATTGATGGAATAAATTTTCGAATCATATCTATAAACATCGCTATTGATTTTAATATATCAAAAAGGGAAAGAGAACTAATATTCAAAAAGTCATTCTTTCTTCCACGCTAGACTATTCTGAAATCCAATTTCCGTTTTCCAGATAAAGTAGAATAACAGATGACCTTGCATTTCATTTATCGTTGTCTAGATACTACTTTTCGCTTCTCTTCTACACTGTTAATTTGTTAAATTACCTGGTATTTCAATAACAATGAAAAAATTTTAAACCCGTTTAATATTGTCTAATTAATCGGTAAAACTTATTGCTACTTAATTTGTATCCAGTCAGGCATTAATTAGAAAAAAGCTATACTAACGAGTTACAGAAATAGCTTAAACATCTGTTAACAAATTAAGATGAGGGCAAATATGTTATTTCCGTACAGGATGTTAATTTTTTTTTAATTAGATAAATAAATTTGTTGAACAGAAATAAATTTAACAAATTCAGAAGTTAAATTACTGAAATAGCCATGACACTAAGCATACAGAATTAAAGAATCTTATTTTAGCCAAGCAACATGTTTCGCCTTTAAAAATATACCAAAAAGTTCATTCTCGAAACTGATCCTGTCAATCAAAACAATGAGAATTAGTAAAAATTGCTTAAATAGGCTGTTAAAAGCACTGAAAAAAATAACTGTGGTGAAAGGAGCAATTAAAGAAATAAAAAAAAATTATTTCCTTTGACAAACTTCTTTAAAAAAAGAGCAGTCAGCAAAAATTACCTGTAAAANATGAAAATAATATAATATGGGGTATATAAGCCTCTATCATAACTATTGGCTTAGTTTCATCTAACAGTTACATGTGTAAAATAAACTAAAAAATTGTTTTGCTGTTAAAATACATTGACATTAGGGAGATTAATTCATATAACTGTACACTCCTAATATTAAATTTCTATTGAGTAACTGATCTTCATTTATAAGGAAGAAAATGTACAGTCTTAGAGGAAGAATAACTGGTTGTGTTCTTTGAGCCACCTGATTGTTGATTTGAGGAGTAAGGAAAATTGTTGTTTTGCATTTTCCATGATTGTAAGACAGTATATTATCTTCCTTATACTATATTTGGCTTTGTATGTAAATATATACATATTTTTTATAATCTTCATTTATATAAATCTTTGCTAAATGTGTATTCCAGGTGTACAATTCATGCATAAACTATAATCACACTATCTTAGGACTGGAAATGTGAGATAATGTTAAAATATTTATGTCTCAACAATACAGATATTATGTTCATATTAAATGCCTTAACAAGCTTCAGAATAATATAACTATCACAAAGGCATGTGGATATAAAAAGTTTTTAAAAGCTTCATATGAGAAAAATTACAAACATGTCACTCAAGTTGTATAAAAATTAGTTTTGATCAGTAACTAAACATGCTATACAGCAAGTTGATAGATTCTTGAAAACTGCAATGTTAAGTCAAATGGTGAACCCATGTGATCAAAAAGTATAAGGAATGGTTCAATAAAATGCAAGATTTGAATTTATTCATCAAAATTCATTTCATCCCCTTCAAAGTAATCCCTTCCCATTCAATGCACTTATGCCAATGTTTTTCCAATCCTCAAAATGTGTTTTGTTAAAATCATTTTCATGACACCTCTATGGGACTAACAGCAAATTTTCTTTTATGGCATTAGTTGTCTTAAAACAGTGACCACGAAGCAGAAATTTTAGTCAAGGAAACAGGAAAAAGTCACATGATATCATATCAAGTGAATACAGAGCTTTGTGAAACTGTATTTGTTGAATTTTTGGCCAAAAATTCAACAAATACATGGAAAATTGGTGGAAAATCCATGAGTTTTCTGGCCACAAATCATGTCATTTTCTATGAATTGCTTCATGTAAATGATGCAAAATGCTCTAACAATATTCTTTGTTGACAATTTGGCCAGATGGAAAAATTTATGATGCACATCACCATGGAAATTGAAGAAAACATGACCTTAATTTTTTACTGATTTTGACATGGTTTTTCGGTCTTGCTTCATCTTTTGGGTGACATTCACTTAATTGTTCAGCTCTTTCAATGTCAGAATCATGGATCCATCTTTCATCATCCATAATGATGTGTTTTATAATGACCTCTTTGGCTACTTGAAAAGTTGATGTTTTTGAAAAAATTCAACCTTTTCAGGTTGAATTTTTTCAAAAGACCACTCGAGAAGTGACACACCACAAGCCCAAATAATCTTTTAAAACTGCTTGAAAAGATCCAAACAATACTGGAACATGTTCAATAATGTCCCTAATTGTTAAATGACAATCATCAAGCACCAAATTTCTGACTTGAGCAATGTATTGTTTATCAGTTGAAGTGAAAATGGTCTACCAGAGTGTAGTACATCTTTGAAGCAACCTCTACTTTCCATGAAAATCATCTACCACTCAAAAACTTTTGTTTTTGATAGACTACCATCACCAAAGGCTTTTTGCAACATTTCCAATGTTTTTATAGCAGCAATCTGTTTGTGCATTCTTTGCTCAATTACACTCGATATTTTGAAAAATTGATGGTGTAAAAATTCTTTACACAAAAAATAAGCCTTTATTTGTAAATGATGACATACAGATCACTGCTAGACATTGATGAAAGTCATACCAGACAATGAAAAAAATGACAACAGTGTCTTCTTGCATGTGAATAGTTTAAAGGAATCATTCCTGATACGTTTTGATCACAATAGTATTACAAAACATATTTTACCATAATCTAAATAACATAAGCAAGATATAACTCAATTATTATTATTCTAATTGAATCATGTTTATAACCTCCAGCATTTATTTCCCACCTTACAGAATAAATTTACTGTTGTGGTTTTTTGGTTCTATTGCTTTTACTTTTCATCACTGCATGTGAAAAAAACAAATGAGACGAGAACATAACAAAACTGAGTTTATTGTCTTCTCGTGTATATGGTACATGTCTCGACGACGCAGCTAACAAAGAACAACTAACGGTCAACGGTCTTACTGAGTGAGTTCGAACTTGTTCCAGGAAGTGATGACTCATACCACCCGGGATTCGTTGCTTGTTTTTCACAACAGTTAAGATGTGAAGGGTGGCATTCGCCACACTGTTTACAGAGAAAATTTGACAACAACAATTGTAAATAATTAGAAATGTATCTTTCCACAATGACATTACAATGAAATGATGTTAAGTGAGTACTTGCTGTATAGTGATGATAAAATAAATTCCATTAAATAATTTACTTTTATTAATATTCAATTTATAATGGACTTTGTTAGTTTTCTATCATACAGTTACAATTCTATCAACAGGTACAATTGTATGACTGACAAACTGATTTATCATATTATGTACAACATTATCCTGCCTATTATTAACTATTATTTGATTATTAACATAAATATATCACTAATATTGTAGTTAGTTAACATTCCATGAAGATGAATATCATAAAAATTACTAAAAATGAGATTTCTTCAATTTTAACATTTTAATACAGTTTTCACTATCCTGAAATGATGAAATGAAAAAAAAAACCATATGATGCACTCTTAGTGCCTAGAAGACAAGAATTTATGGAAAAAGGTTTAAGACAATTAATTAAACTGAAATGAGATTCTACCGCTTGGTGCAAAATTCGTGAGTTTTCTGGCTACGAATCAGGTCGTTTTCTATGAATTGCATCATGCAAATGATGCAAAACACTAACAATTCAAATTAATTAATGAATACTTTTCATAATTTTATATTTTGTTTTATTCTTTACATAAATGAATTGGTTTTATCAAAATTATTCATTAATAAGCTTTTTTCATTGTAATTAATTGTTTTAAAATTTATTTTAATATTTCAAGATGGTGAAAATTTGTATTTTTAATAATTTGTATCTAGTTAATAAATAATAATATAATTCAATATATTATTAATATATTACTAATAATAGTACTCTATTCTATACTAATACATTGCTTAACACACAGGCTGAGACTAAAAAAAAAAAAGTATAAAGATACAAATTAATTAGCTTTTTATTAAAAAATGACTATAAGCATATAGCTTGTGGACCCAAATAATATATAAAAACTGCTCTCTTAAATATAAGCCGAACAAATAAAGTCTTTCTTTATGAAAAATAAACAAGATTGGTCAGGCCAATCTGATAGCATGCTCTACAAAAGTGAATCAAATATTATTTTTGTTTAAAATAAATTTTATAACTTCTTGGAATCAAGTTGTTCAGAAAAATTTTTCACTGAACATACAGTAAGGGATATGGTTTATAAATTCCAGAGGAACCGAATAGTTTTTATTACAGCTTACAGTGACTGTAAACAAAAATGTTCAGTTTCCTTTTGTGCATGCACAATGAATAGATTGAACGGAACATAACACTTAGGTAATGAAAGTGAACAGAGTCATTGCACATGCTCAACGAATGAATTGAGCGGATTATAATCTCGAATATATAATGTCTGACAGAGACACAAAAGTCCTAACATAAGCACTTCACTACTATAGTGAAGTGTGCTAAAAAGAAAATAAATCAACTCACCAAAAACCTTATTTTCACACCAGCAGAAGTTTAATCTTTCATGTGAATGTGGACAAACATTTTCAACCTAATTACAGGTGTGCTTCAGGTCTCAAACTTTTTGTTCTATTTTGGAATTTTACATAGAACAATATAAAATTTCAAACTATGGAAGGAAGGACAATAAAATAGTTTGTTAGGTAGTTTGAAATTTTATACTGTTCTCTGTCAAATTCCAAAATAGAACAAAAAGTTTCAGATCCGAAGCACACCTGTAATTAGATTGAAAACATTAGTCCATGTCCACATGAAACATTAAACTCCTGCTGGTGTGAAAATAAGATTTTTGATGAGATTAAACTATCTAGTTATGGAAGCAG